TACGTAGCTTAACCCAGGTAGAACCTTTTCGCCTAGGGTAATCCAGCTCATAGTTTCGGGTAGAAGTACTCTTCGCTCAGGATGTTTTACATAGCTTAACCCAGTAGAACCTTTTCGGTTAGGGGAATCCAGCTCATAGTTCCGGGTACTCTTCGCCCAGGCTTGCTTTTCGTAGCTTAACCAGGTAGAACCTTTTCGCCTAGGGGGGAATGATGTTACACCCTATATTTTTTTGTACGTAAAACTGCGTCGTGAGCAAACTAATGTAGGACCCAAAAAAATGAGATTATCTTTGAAAATATATAAAGCAATTTAATCATGTTACCTCGGAAGTTACAAATATTGAATATCATCAACAACAAGTACAAAGAGGGTTGGAAGGTTTAGAAGCTAAAGGAATTGAAGAAAATAATGTTTCGTCGAAAGCCGACAAATTGGGAATGTTATAGCATGTACTTTTGGGATGAGACCAGGGTGTTTTACATGATAAGGAGGTTATGTTACGAGTTATGTTATTCGTATGATAGTCGTATGTTATGTTTTGAAGTCAAGCGAGTGGTGGAACAAAAGTCGATGAAAGTCATCACAAGTTACGTTCATAAATTTTACTGAAACTTTGGGTCAAATGTAACTGCGATTTTCTCCCAATATACTTAGAGTTATGGGGTGTTCCACCCATCAAATTAAATATCTATGAGTCTACTTTCCAACTCATTAAACCGTTTGTCAATACGACATCGGAGTAGAGAGATATGGACATTTTTGCTAGACTGCGCAGACTGTCACCTACTTGCTTAAACGAGAATCCAAAACTGGGCATGTTCGGGTCATCCAAAAATGGGCCAGTTCGGGACGTCCAAAGAGGCCTTTTTAAAGTCCTATCCCCTTCATATATTAGTCTGATAATAGGGCAAAATAACCAGACTTATTCTCTGCAAAACTCCTCCCAAATATTTCCCCCAAACCCCTATTGATTTTCTCCCCCTTTCAAGTTCTAACCGAAGGTAAAGCCTAGAGTTTGAAGAACCAAGATAGGAGTCGAGTTATCCAACAAATAAGGTAAGTTTACTTCTCTCTTTCATCCATTTTTTCTGTTGTAGATGTATAGTAAGTCATTCTATATTTGTAAGAAATCATGGGACGGTGATCGGAAGCCGTGAGTTCGAATTATTCACTTGTAGCGGACTGTTTTGTGGACTATTTTGTGGACTGTTTTGTGATGCTATTGGGCTGCGTGTTTTACTACTATTTTGTGGAGTTTTGGAGGAGGAAGTGTGTGGATAAACACCACATAAATGCAGGATGTTGGGCTGGTCGTTTGTCGTAACATTTTCGGGTTGTTGACACTACTACGGTAGTCGTTTTGTGTATGAAGAGATTGGGGTGTGTTGGGCTATTTTGT